GCTGTTGAGCAAAGCCCCTCCTTGGGCTTGGGCTAGAGAACATGAGCAGCCTTTCTTTTACGAAGAAGCTCCTTGTGAACCAACCTGGCTTTTCTCATCCAACTCTTGCTTAATTGAGACTGCCCACAAACAGGAACAACCAAATGTGACTAAAAGGCTGCTCCCCAGTGCTCAATAGCTGCCTACAGGTGTGCAGATGACAAGAGCTGCACCCTGGGCTTCTAGCAATACCATCACAAGGACTACTGATTGCTTTTAATTTTTTAACTACTGAACTGTCATATAAAGAAAATCATGCGCTCCAGGAGGAAAGCCAGGCAAAAACTCTAGGTAATTCAGAGATTGTTAATTTCATTTCCTAGAGAACCCCTTGAATTCATTCTCCAGTCCTGACTTGGTTTTTTTAGAGACCTGCCATCTTCTTCCTCATTATCCCTTCCTCCCACCTCTGCTTTTTAGATATCAGATAGTCCATTTTTATAGAAAAATGGACCAAATTGTCAGATCTAGACCCATTTCAAATTGGACATCATTGAATTCTGTTCTGAAAGACCATCTTTAATACCTGAGTGGAGCAGTTACTTATCAGATCAAAAGCATTGGGATAGACTTTGAATATTTTCAAACTATAATTTGGTGCTGGAGTGTAAACCCTTATCCAATGTTTGGTATACATGCAGAACAGGAGCTCTGAGCCTTAATTTGTGTTTTCAACACATGCAATACAACCAGTTTGAATGTAGATTTTTCTCTTAAAAATCTATATGCATAATAGTGACTTTGAATTTTTACTTACCTCATAAGTGCTTGTAATACCAGATCTGTAAAATACAGGTAGAAAAAGTTCAGCAGTAAAAATGATGACAAGTGCATATGAAAGAAAGAACAGCACAAAGGATGCCCCATATCTGTAGACTTCGGAGGGTGTCCCCAGAACAGTGACTGCTGACATGAAACTTGATGTGAGAGAGAAAGCTATTGGTCCACATGTCATCTGTCTACCGCCCACCAAAAATTCCTTTGAAGTTTTCTTTTTCCTTTCTTTAACTGCAAAAAAGACTCCAATGCTAGCAGATATCAAAAATAGCCCTGCAAAAACAACATAGTCCCAAGCCACAAATTTTTTTACTTCTGGAGCTACAAAGTTTGACATAGCACCAGTTGGACAGTTCTCAGGTGGAGGATTCTGGTTGTCTAAAGCTGCTTCTCAGAAAGGATTGACTCAGATGACAGCAAAGTTGAAGCTTAACTGCAGATCATCAATGACAAATAACAAACAGAAAGTCTGTTTAGCTAGGAGACTGTGTTGTTTTTTTTTAATCCAGTTGACTTCTAAGGTGGAAAAAAACAGCGAAGACTGAGTTGGGAAGGTGCTGAACAGACTTATTCCCTGGTCCTGCTGATGCTTCTGTTGGGCAGGCTGGAGCTGGAACGTAGCTGTGAAATCTGTAGTACACTCCCTTTTTATCTGTGAGGTTTTAATTTAAGGTTAAACATTAGCCTGACACATTGACTTGATCTGACTCTTTTCTAACCTCTCAGCATTTTTAAAGAATAAAATGAGAGCAATAAAGAAATAAATAGAGAGAAACGAAGGAAAGCTCAGTGTACAGACCTATGACCCCACTGAGGAGCTGGTTTTCAGAGGAGAAATTCTCTCATATGGTTAAAAACTGAACTTCAACATCAGCCACAGGTCTCAGTGTTGTCCTTTGATGCTCTAAGCATGCTCCTTGGGGGACCCCCTGTAAGTAAAAGCTGCCTTAAAGTACTGGAGCCTTTAATGGTTAAAAGAAACTGTGAGGCTTCCCCACACCTGCTATAGCCCAGCCTTTGTGTGTTTGGGAGCTCAGGGCACCTCTAGATGAGCAGAAGTGTGATTTGTGCTACAATGAGGATGACTTTCAGTTAAGAACTAATTTTTCATTGACTGCTACTAACAGTAATTTGACTTAAAGCTGATAGGGGTTTGTGGAGCAGTGGTTTGTTTTATTTATCCACGAGCAAAGAGAAGCAGATTAGATAACAATAATACTTTTCTTAACTATGTCTTGGGCATCATTTGTTGACTTCAAGTAATTGGGTTTTCTTTGGCTTTTTTCTTTCTTTGAAAAAAAATATATTTGTTTTATCTCAATCTATGCCATGCCAATACATTTTCCAAAGAAGCAGGAAATGTCATCCAGAAGGATTAACCTGTCCAAAGAGATGGTGTATGTAGTTTTAGTCCTGAAGGAAGTGGAGAGGGTCCATTTTGGAGACAATCAAGAAAGAGATGCAGTAACCTTTGGCAGCCTTTAAATAGCAAAAGTCCTTTTCTTCACTTGTGTTCTGCCTGGGAATGAATCTCCGATTCTCCTTCTTAGGGCACCACTAAATTGAGATGTTCTTGCTGTATCAGATGTACCCTGAAGATCAGTGAGTGTCCAGATCTGAAGCCTTCAATGTTTCCCTCCATCTGCTCAAGAGAAAGACAAGTACATGTACAGCAACATTCATGACTTAGTGTGGAGTCAAAGAAAATCCAAGACAACCTATGGTTGGAGCTGACTTCTGTCTGCAAGTGCAGTACAGATTGTGCAGTTCTTTTGTGGATGATTTTTGGTGGGACCAGGTACAAATGGGGGCATGGAAAGGCCTATTACTGCTGCAGCATGTGAATTTAAAAATAAATAAATAAAGGTATTGCTTCATTTGCAGCTGAGGTACTCTCAGTTTAAAAAGCGTGATGTAGGCGTTTGTCAGGTACGATCCAGCTCTCTGTGGAATCTGGGGATATCGATTCGAGCCACATCAGTTGCCATAGCACTTGTTTGTGTGCTGTAACCTGTGGGTTGTGTGACAGAGGGACCAGATGAGAGCAATAAACCATTTTGTGTTACCGTGGGTCAAAGTGAGACAGTGTAGGTAATGCTCTGTAAATCCTCATCCAACCACCCCAAGGTAATTTATTTATCCAAGTATACTCCCATTGCTAGTTAATATTTCTCTTTTGTACAGAGCAAGTATCTTAAGGTGTGTCCACTCTCAAAAAATCAGTGACTTTCACTTGACAGGAATTCCTCTGATTTTGGAGTGTGGGGTTTTTTGCCTTTTTTTTGTTTTGTTTTGTTTTGTTTTTCTTCTCTGTCATTACAACTGTAAGCATGTGGATGTTTTCTGCAGGTTTTAGTTCATACGTACAGTCTGATTCCCAAAAGTGTATCAGTGGTAAAAGCCCTGCCAACAAGGAGGCTCTGGGATCAACCATCAACCCAGGCTGACAACAAGGTTGATGTCATGGGGCATGATTACAGCTTTTAGGGCTAACCAGGCAAATCCTGTGTGTGCTTCTACCTGCAAACCACAGCTGATTTCTAGCTTGGTCATGATGCCATCAAGTGGATTCACATGAAAAAAAAAAAAACCTGCAAAGAAGAAAACTAGAGGGTATGTCCTCTTAAACTTGAGCCACTGAACTGCACCATGTAAGAAAGACTGCAGCAGTCCTGCTCCCAACAGTGAGAGGGTGGAGAGCTCTTTGTGGGCCCTGGGGTAAGAATTACAAATAAAAAGTTTTTAAAATAATGATAATAATCTGGGTCAGAAGCTTTTTGTGCCAGTCATGTTACTAGTGGAAGTCCAAGTGGAAGATCCCTGGAACATTCAGTCAGGGAAAATAAGTGTAGTGTAATCTATTATTACTGGCCTGAACAGATATTTCAAATGGCCTGTTTGCCATTAGCAAACACTGCTAATTAGCAGCTGGGCTAACTGCTGTCACACACTGATGAATAAAGCTGTCTGTCCACTCACATGGGCTCAGTGCATAGTAATCTGGGTTAAGTTCCAGGAAGGTTTTTCAAACAGCAAAATTCCTATTGGCATAAATACTACCCTGCAGCATTTTGGTTTTTTTTTTTAAAAAGAAATTTTGAATGATTTTTCTAGCAGAGGAGTATTTTTGGATTGTAGTGCCCCGAAGCAGATCTCCATTGCAGGGACATTTCTTGGCCATTCAGCTCAGGTTGCCTGTGTCTCTTGCTTACAGGCATCCAGCTGGGTTAAGGCCAGTAGAGAGCATTATCCATCCCCTGGTGTCTTGTCTCTCAACTTTCTGTCAAATTTAGATGTCTACTTTCCTTTATTTTAACTGCGTTTTTCTCTTGTTTTTTTATTTCCCCCCCTTGTTGTCTTTAATAAGGCAGTGAAAATTTTGGCAACTTTTCTCAAGGGGCAGATCTGTAGATTTGATGCTGCTTTGGCAGGTGGATCCAAGGTCCATCAGGAGGGGTCTTGCACGTGGAGGTGAACCCCTTGCAGGGGACTATGCAGAACAACAAGACTGTTTCTTACCAAGGGCAGGGAATTGAGAACTGAGCTGTGCAGTGCTCCAGGCTTGAATTAGAGATATTATGGGTGTGAAGATCCTGATTTGGCAGCACAATTATCAAGAGAAGTATTCTCTGAGTCTACTGAGAACTAGTCAAAAGTTTATCTAAAAATATATTAGATTCTTGTGTCTAGACTGATAGTACTCAAGCATTCATTCAATTCTTGCATTGCAGGAAATTAATTGAGGCACAATTAGCTGCTCTTAATTATTTTTATTCAAAGTAGCTTTGCTTTAGAGACTCTGATAGAGCATAAGGAAGGTTCTCCAGCTATAATCTCAATGACTGAAGTGTGTCGTGAATAGTTCATGTTTGGATAGTTAAAATAATTATGGGATTTCCTTGTCTTCTAGGAAATCAACACCTTCCGAGCTTTAATGTGCTGAGTCCTTTTACCTTCTTTTCCTATTAGCCTGTGATGCCAGTTAATTATTAATGTAATGATAAGAACATGTCCAAACTCAGAAATCTGCCAGGTTTGGTGCTCACATGCCATCCACGTGAGATGGTGTCACGTTCTGTAACCATTGACAACATCCATTGGGTGTAAACCACTCACTTCAAGGTCACATTTGACCATCCTCAATGACTAGTTCTGAACTAGCTTTTCAAACATGGTCAGCACTACAACTATTCCAACATGATGCTTTATAGGTAGATTTTTAAAATGCCAAGGGATATGACTTGTAGCTGTTCTTCATAGACCTCAGGGATGCTTGGTACTGAAGCCGACTGATGAGGGGACTTCAAGGGTTTTGAGCAGAGAAAAGATGACTAGAGAAGAAAATACAGAATATGTGAAACTATTGGAAGTTTGTTAAGTGAAGAATGTTCAATGGGTTGTATTTTAGTGTTGTGTTTTAAGCTGGCAACATCTTTACCATGGGTTGGGGTTTCACTTGTTAGAGCACGTGAAAGAAGGTTTTTCATCGGTTACTCAGTTCTCTATTTGGAATTACATCCTGTCTCAAATAACTTATGTGCATTACCTGCTTTTATGCATTTCAGTGAGGTCTTTGAAGTATTTTAGTTGTTGATATGTTTATTTTGGGAGGTGGGGATAAATGATTATATCAAACAGCCTTGTGTGTGCAGGAAAAGTAATCATGTAGGACATGATTTCTTAGACTCTTCTGCAGTGGACTTTGGACTTCCATTAACCTAAATTGTTATAATTTGGTAATATTTTAGTAATATTTTAGTTTGCATGAGGTTTTTCCAGTAAAAAGTAATCTCCCTTTGGGGAGTGGGCAGGGAGGCTTTACTTAGTAGGATTCAATATACACCATCACGTTTGGGGGGTTATATTGGCTGAAATAAATTCCTGAAGAACTTTGCAATATTTTTTAATAAACTTAAATTTCTCTCCAGATCACAGTTGCTAAACTGATTTAGCATAGGTATTTTATAACTAATAATATATATCTCAAGTTTTGGTGTTCATATATATTAAGGTATTAAGGATTTGTTTAGAGAAGAGAGTTCTTATCGTGACAGGCAGCTAGTTTCTTTGTAGTTGATGCTATTAACTTTAAGATGAGCCTGATGAGCAAGGTGAAGACTCTCCCTCCCCCAAAATAGGAGACAAGTAACAGTTACATATTAAAATATGGTGTAATGCCTTCATTGTCAATATTGGATAATAATATACAAAATGCAGTGGCATTTCTGCAGTGGCATCAAAAACAATGATGAGCTCTAACTGTGGGTCTAGGGTTTGCCAGAAAAGCCCTGGAATATAACAACTTCTTATACCTGAATCTTTTCTGGCTTTGCTCAG